CGGTGCGGCGGGGAGGTTCCCTGCACCAGGAACGCCACCTGGGTTGGGCGCACGCCGTCCTTCCTGGGAGGAGGGTTGGCCCTCTTAGGACGGGATCCGCCCCTGGAGGCACACAGCCCTCAGTAGGCTGTTCGCGTAAATCCTTCTGAGCCCGGGCAATGCTAGCCTCGGTGCAGGGGATCTGGTGGTCTGCAGGTCCGACCTCTGGTCCCAGAGTGTCAAACTGTATTCCACCAGGGAGAGGATTTCGGGTCCTAATTCACCCACAGGGGCCGCAGAGCTGTGGATCTGTCTCTCAGCCTCTGAGTCGGCACGTGTTTCCTGGGAACACGGTGCCAGCAGCACCTGGGGAGGGCGGGCGGGTCCAAACGGGAAGGTCCCGTTCCCTGGAGGTGCCTCCGGCTGGTGGCTTATTGTCTCTCTGCAGCCGCGGGTAGGTCGGGGAGGAGGAGGAGGGCAATATGGCCGCCTGCCAGCGCGGCTCGGGTCCGTGCACCGGAGGTGCCCGGAGGGAAGTTGGGAACCTGGTGGCACGTCTGCTACAGGCTCAACGTTGCAAGGCGGCGGCAGTCTCTGGGCTGATGTCCGCAGGTCTCTCCACCCACTGGGGAGCCCGCCAGCAGTCCCGAATGCAGGGGGGGGAAACAGCAATTCCACCTACCCTATGCCGCTGGTCTCCGGGCTGCGGTGGTCTCAGGCCTCCAGTTAAAAAAAAAAAAAAAAAAAAAAAAAAAAAAAAAAAAAAAGAGTCTACAGGGCCCTGGCTGTTCCAGCACAATCTGGTTCTCTTGCGTTAATCCACAAATAGAGCTACCAAGACTGTATGGAATGTCAGCTGCTCTTCCCAGAATGGCTCACCAAGCTTTGCAGTTAGTACTTGCTGACCTCTGACTCTTGGGGCCATGAAAAGCCCCTTTTCCCTCTTTCTGTTTCCTCTAACACTTTCAAAGTTCTTAATATCACCAATAGTTTATTCCAACCCACACATATTTGGAGGTTCACAGGGATGTGTTTTCTCACAGTTTTCTTGTAGATGCTGTCTGTGGGATTTTGCTTTTGCTAACAGTTGCTGTGTTTCCATGGGGTCATGTGGGGAGGCTGAAAAATTATGTCACCTTGCCACCATTTTCCAGATTACTTTAAACAGCCAAACTTTTAGACAATGTGCCTATGTCTATGTTAACAGTTTTTCCAATGCACTGTGCAGTTGACCCTTGAACAAGCAACATAAGTTTGAACTGGGCATGGGTCCACTTATAAGCATATTTTCTTCTCCCTCTGCCAGCCCCGAGACAGCAAGACCAACCCCTCCTCTTCCTCCTCGTCAGCCCACTCAATGTGAAGATGACAAGGATGAAGACCTTTATGATGATACACTTCCACTTAATGAATAGTAACTATATTTTATCTTCCCTATGATAGTCTTAATAACATTGTCTTTTCTCTAGCTTACTTTATTGTAAGAATATAGTATATAATACATATGATACCCAAACTATGTGTTAATCAACTATTTATGTTATTGATAACGGTTGTCAAGAGTAGGCTATTAGTAATTAAGTTTTTGGAAAGTCAGAAATTATACACTTTGTGGAATTTTGACTGTGTGGAGCTGGTGCCTCTAATCCCTGCATTTTCCCAGGGTCAACTGCATTGTTTAATCATGGTGGTCATATTGATGTCCATACATGTTAATACTGGAGCCCTCAACTGTGAATGTCTCTATAGTTTAGAGATCTGTTGGTGTCTTTTCACACTGCCAGGCTTCTATCTCTCTCCCCACTCCCCAATCTGTGAAGAATCTCCAAGTGGCTCTTTGCTGCTACTGTCCTAAGTGTTCCAGATGCTGATATGGAAGCCAATGGAACATGGACTGCCCATCTGGAGTGCTCCTAAGTGATCACAAGGCCACGGGACAGTCACAAACATCTCTGTTTCCTTTCCTCCCCAATGGGCTGTTCACACTGATTCTTAACCAGTATGGTAGAGGATGAGGCTTAGAGAGGCATGACCCCAATGGGATCAACATGAGGAAGGAATGCACTGGGAGGAAACAATAGTTTGATGAAAGCTTCTCAAGTGATTCTAATAGACCTCCTCAGAGTTGTACTGGGATCCTCTGCTCCTTCCTCATGGGGAGGGAGACCGTGCCGTGGACTTGGTCCTGGGTCCATCTCACCTGGGCATGCTCATTCAGAAGGCTGGGAAGTGACCAAGATTAAGAGATTGGAGAAAAAAGAAAAGAAGGCAGTAGCCCAAGGATCTACGGGGGGGGGGGGGGATGTCACCATCTTCTTCAGGTGGTTAATATTGAAGCAGGTGTATCTTCAAGGTATTTAAAGTGAGTCGTGCTTACTGTTCAACTAAGAAACTCTTCCAACTGTAAACAGAAAATAAAATCTTTCCTTTTACAGGTAGAGATAATGTATCGAATGGGAAAGTTTGAAAGAGGTGGCATTTTGGGTAAAAGTGTTTCCATCAAAGATAAACCAATGATATCGAATCTGTGGCTATCTGAATAGAGGGAGAAAAACCAGGAAGGCAGAGGTGCTGGGGAGAGAAATATAAGAGAAACGGAGGAAATTCCCAAGAGGAAGACAGGGAGCAGTATGTGGATGTTGGAAACGGCCATAAACTCTGCCAATATAATAAACACGTTTGTGTCCATTTGTGTACAAATAAAGGCACTGTGTGGGAATCTTAATGGTCTGTCTGGATGCCAGGACTCGTACAGCCACAGGCTCCAGGGAAGGAAGATGGCCATGTGTTCAGTAACATGGTTTGAAGGCAGACAAGGGTCAAAGAACTGCTGGTCTGACTCAAGTCTTGGTGGATGATTTAAGGGTTTAATTGCATAGACTATTCAGGATAATTTCTGAGGAACCCACAGAAGCTACAGTGTCTAGGGCATATTAGCAACTTAAGGTCATTTCATAATTAAACAAATGATTAATACACAGGGTTCACATGTAAGTAGACTTTTTCTCTGTAAGCAACAATATTATCATTCAGACCTCAGAGAAATAGATAACTTGATATTCCTGACCCTTTTATGTTTTCTCTATTTCAGATGCTGTTTCTTCCGTAATTAAAGCAGTAGCATAGGAATTGAGGTAATTGAAACTCAGTTCTCCTCTGTATGGTATTAATATTTTCCCAATCATTTGTGTTTCTTTTCCTGTTTCCTGGATATGGAATTAAGTACTGTGACTTAAGTACTGATTAGCTAGGGGAGGTCCTTCCCCCTCCTCCTTCTCTCCTGGGTGGCCCTGTCTTCCCTGCTTCCCTTCTGAATTAACCTGTTCTTCACCCGGATATTAACATTATCCACCCCACCCCTGCCCCTGTCATTCAAGGTTGGTGTTTCATTTTTAGCCCTGAAATATACATGAATTAGACCACCAGAATATTCACTGATAAATCTTGTGAAAAAACAAAGAAAGGAAACTTTGTGAGTCAGAAGAGAAAAAACTAGTGAGTCACTAAAAGGGGGGGGGTGTTTCTATTCTATTAATCTCAGCTACACAGTATATAATTACTTCCACATGAAAGATTTTCAGTTTTCATCCAAATAATGTATATAAAACCGTGAACAAGTCAAACTATAAACAAACGGGGCACATTTAAAAAGTTACACTTAGTGTTGAGCTTGGAGACATTGCATTGATTTCTGATAAATTATTGTGCGTTGACCTTTTCCCTTGGTAATTTCTTTCCATATTACGTTTCCCAAAAAAGTCAGTTCGAGCTCATAATTGCCTTCAGAGGGGAGGGTGTGCGTGCATGTGTGTGTGTATTGAGTGGAATGTGCTGGGTTCGAGAGGCATAGTGGAAAGCTGCCAATTTACTTTGAAATTTAGATGTATGTTACCCATGACCTTAACCAGTTTTCTATTTTAATTTGGGATATCTGGGGTTCATGGGACCCATTCTTCCCATGTTGCTGCCCCCGCCACGACTTACTGTTTGTAGTGTCTTTGTCATTCAATCAGGAATTCTCTGGAGCAGACAGGCGGACTCTAGTGGCAGTCAGTGGATCCCAACGTGGATCTAGCCTGTTGGAAGCAAAATGCATGCTTGAGTCTCATGGTCACATACAAATGACATAGGAGGGGTGACAATCTTATAGGAATTTAGAAGCTCTCTGGGCTTTTTTTTGTACACTAGACAAATGTCTCGGATGTTTGAACTTCTATTATCGTGTCTGTTTACTTAAACTTAAGTCTAAAACTGAATTTACATTTTTTTTTCTCTAAACATTTATCCTTCTAAATTTCCTTATTGTGTTTTGGTGATATTATGGTCCCCAGCCCCTCCGTTTTCCAGATTTTTTTTTTCATATATTTACTCAATTCAGTTATTTATTCAACAAATATCTATCCAGTTGGTGTGCTGAGTGGGGCACTCTGGGGTGGGAGGCAAGGCTGGCCCTGTCCTCAGGAGTTTATGACTCAGCAGGCCTTCCTGGCAGCCTCTCTCCTGCCTGTCCCCCACGCCAGGCGCGCCTGTGTCTTCAGTTTCGTCCTTTCCACCCACCGTAGGGGTCTCCTCCACCAAGCCAGGCCCGCGGCAGTGCTCAGGGGCTTCCCTCAGCCTGGAAGTTAAACCTTTGTAATGCAGTTTCCCACTGTCTAACCTGTTCCAGCGGCACTCAGGCCTGGCTGGGCACCTCATTTTTCGTGGTCTGTTTGTCTTTGACACAGATGCCCAGGAACCCGCCTGTAGAGTGAGTGAGTCAGTAACGTTCCTGGTAGGTTCCTGCTGCCTTGAAAAGGCCGCCGTTGTCCTTTCCTGGGCAGTCTGCACACCCCGGGTAGGTGATCCGGATCCACAAGCATCGTCCTTCAGAGACGTCACGTCACCCGCCTCCCTGCCTCTGAGTCTCTGCCCAGCCTGCTGGCGTTTCTCCCCTTCTCCAAGCCCAAAGCCCGTTCCGAGCCCCGAGGGCAAATGCCCTGCTTGACGCCCCCTGGACGCTCCCAAGGATTAATAACTCTGTTCAAGTCAGACTTGCCATAGCCTCTTCCTTATCTCAACAGCTGAGGTGCGCAACTGTCCCACCCAAGGGACTCAGTAGAACCTACCTTGTTATTTTATATTTGATTACATTTTTATTTTGTGCATTCCAGTTTTTATCCATAATTTTGTAAATTCAATGGAAATAGAGAGGCTCTTGTATCTTTTCTGCTCCCCAGCACATCAGACTACGTGCTGTACAAAACAGATGCCCAACATGCTCTTGGCCCCTTCCCTCCATCTAAAAATCCCTCTTGTATTTCTATTTTCTCCTCTTCCTTCTTCCGTCTAGTCTCTCTCACCCATCCTATAAGGTTTCTGTCATTGGAAGGACTCACGTGTTTAGACTGAGCCCACTCAGATCACCCAAAATAATCTCGATATTTTAAAGTCAGCTGATTAGGAAGCTCAATTCCATTGGTGACATTTATTATTCCTTTTTGCCATGTAATGTTACATACCAGCAGCCCCGGGAGGCATTATTTGAATCCCTATTTTATATATGAGAAGCAAGAGGCACAGAGGATTCAGTGACCTTGTGTCTGATCCTGAGCTAGTCAGAGCCAGGACTCAAACCAGCCGGCTGGCCCCAGGGTCTTGCTTCTAACCTCATGCCACATGCTTCCTCCTAAAAGGAATCCGGGCTTTGTGAGTCTTCACAAATTCCCTTTTAAGAGCTCCAGGATTCCCTTTCACAGTGACAGTCTTTTTGAAAATCCCTATTTAACAGGCATGCACTCCATTAATAAAGGAAAAGCATTTGACAATTTACAAAGCTATTTTCAGTTAATCCTCCAAATAACTAAAAAAAGTATTAAGACTATTCTTGTTTTATAGGTGAAAAAAAAAAATAACCAAGCCTTGATTAAGTGGTTTCTCCAGGCACCGCAGCTACTAAGTAGTGACAGTAAGAGCAGGCCAGTACCTAAAAGCTGGCGCTAACACGGGGTGGTGGAATCCGCGCAGCTTTGGGGTGTGAGTATCAGACGTGAGGCTGCAAAGCCCGTGACTTGGAAGGGATGGAACGTGGGGCCAGCTCCGGTCCGGGCACAGCCCCCTCTGTGCCAGCGTGCAGGGTGGCCTAGGAAGGAAGGACGGCACTGCTACTGTCCCTCTCCTCCTACCAGGTCACCGTGCTCTTCCCGTCTCCGTCTGCGGCCAGAGTTGATTTTGCCATCACAATTAGATCATGACAGACCCCACTTAGAACCTGCAGCAGCATCCAGCGTCTGTGGACAGAGAACAATTCTGTCCACAGAACAATTTAAAGGGCGACCAGGCCCTTTAAAAGGTGTGTCCTGATCATTTGCTTGGGCATCATCTCTGACCATTTCTTCCTACACACCATGTGTGTCCATCGTGAGTGTTGCTCTGGGCTTGCTCCTCTCACATCTGTGTCACCCGCACCACCGCTCCTTCTGGATGCCTTTGCCTTTTCACCCTGGGAAGCTTCATTCACGTTTAGGGTTTGGTTCGCGTGCAGCCTCCGAGTGTGTTTCCGGGAGACAGGAGACCATTCATTGCTCACGGTCTGTGCAGCCACAGTTCTTTGTGCTGAACTCCTGCTGACTACACTGGCATTCCTGTGCCCTTCTGTCCCTCCCACTAGCCTGTGACAGCCTTGAGGCCAGGACATGTCATCTGACTCACCTTTGTGTAAGTATTAGTTCCTTCTCACCCATCTTTCATGCCCAGTGATAGAGAGGAAGTTCTTGGTACATCTGCATTTTATCAAGTGTTCAACTCTTGCCATGTCAGGGAAAGAGAAAATAGCAACTACTGGGGGCCAGCAAAGCCCCTGTACCCTGTCTGTCTCCCAGGGCCAGGGCACGGCTACACTGTGTCGGAAAACACAGAAAACAAGCTATTCCAATCCTCTCTTGCAGAAAGTCCAAGAAACACTTGAAATTCTAGCTTTCTCTTCTCTCCAGGGAAAGGACCCCCATCGCGCGTGTCTCATTTCTTCATTGACACTCTCCCCTCCCGCCTCCAGGAAAGCTGTGACTCTGTTCCCACCAACGAGTATAAAGTGATTCGGTTCCTTGATGAGAACAGAGGTGCACTTTAAGAGTGCTATCCAGCTGTGGATCGTCGCCTCGCTGCAGTTTGCAGTCCTAGTTGCAGGGGCAGCAGGAATGACAGCAATCACCAGTCCAACCAGTCAACCCTCTCGAGTTATGTGTTCCTGGAAAAATTAGTGTTTCTGTTTCCTCTTCTACGGAATGCAGGGAATGGCTATGTTCAACTGAATAAAAAGCACACAGTGATTGTATAGAAACAGGCTGGGGGGAGGGATGAGTGACACAACGCAGGTTAAAATATTCCGCACTGTCCCACGCTAAGCACTCGATAGAGAATAGTCACAGTGACACACTATCTTCATCACAGGGAGATAGATATTCTGGAAAGATTTCCTGGGAATAAGCTGGGGAGGAGTTACTGGCGTGAAAGTGAGCTGGGGCCTGGGGTGGGGGCAGGGCTCCCGGAGGTGCTGACCGGAAGGGCTGAATGGTCCAGGGAGACCTGGCTGAAGAGCAAGTGGCCCTGAGGGAGAGTTTGGGTTCCAACTGTCACATTTTCCCCCATGCTGTTTTGTTACCTTAAAATCATTTCATTGCTGTGAGGCATCGGAATAAAACCTTAAAGTTTTCTCAACAGAGAAAACGCGTTTATATATCAGTTTGCTTTTTGATCATTCCGTGGTGTCCTAGCTCAAGGATTTATACGTGCTTACTGCATGACCCTAAGGGTCTGGTCAGCATTCACTCGGGAATCAACCTCAAGGAAATCTTTATCTCTAGGGCGTCTGAAGTTTGCTTTCTGTGACTTTGTGTGTGAGAGTGGCCCTCCTGTGTGCTGCTTCTTTTTCTGTCAATGGCAAGCTAAGAATCCCAACTTGGAAAATGTGACTATTCATTTGCTTAATTATCACATTAACCAGTGGTCCCCAACCTTTTGGAAGACAATTTTCCAAGGACTGGGGTGGGGGGTGGGCTAGGGAGGCCGACTCAGGCCGTGATGCCAGGGACAGAGCGGCTGTAAATACAGATGCGGGTTTGCTTAGCTTGCCTTCCACTCACCCCCTGCTGTGCACCCCCCTTTTTTCCCCGCCCCCTTCCTAAGTTTCACAGAAGACAATTTTTCCACGGACTTGGGGGGGGGTGCGGCAGAGCTCTTGGACCAGTCTACAACAGGCTGAGGATTAGGGGGTGGGGACCACAGACATAAACCATTTTTTAAACATGGAATCAGTCACTAACAAATCCTTCTGGGCTGTTTCCTTTGTCTGGACTCCCCGTCTACCGGGATTTTTCTGTAGTTTTATGATATACAGCAGTTTCCCTTATCCATGGGGGATACGCTCCAAGACCCCAATGGATGACTGAAACCACCACAGTACTGAACCCTACACATACTAAGTAACAACAAGGTTACTACGTCCAGCTCTTCTGTAAAATAAATACCAACCTGTCATCTCTTTGTAAAATCACATACCTAGCTATATTTTTTTCAAGCATAGTTAAAGAAAAATACCTATTTTCACAAGGAATTTGCACATTCTTTTATCTATTATGTTTAAATCCTAGCAGCAAGAGACTTATCAAAGACTCTATACAGGAAGCTGCAGTGTCTTTCATCTGGCTACAGTTTTTTTCTTTTTTTAAAGTCAAGTTTCTCAAAGATAGGTACAGCTGTAGGATATAAATGGCTTCTGAAGATATATCACATCTGTCCAAAAATGAAAATCATTTTTCATGCCTAGCATTTTCTAACTTTCTGAATTGCTCTGTGAAAGTGTTTTATTCTCATGCTATGAAAGGCAGACAAACCAAAACCAGTGACGGGGAAAAAAAATAACAATTTCTATACAATTACCATATGCTTTATATTAAGGTAGCACTGTGCTCCATATGCTGCTTTTGGGGGGTTCTTTTTTTTTTACTTTTCTGACTTTTGAACTAATGCACAATATAGGAAAGTGGATTATTCAAAGGCACAAGTAGAAGAACAAATGCTGATGCGGCCTTGCTGTAGGACACAGGAAGGGAGTGACAGTCACTGATTCTCTTTCAACTCCAAACTTCTCTTGACTTCTGACCCTGATCATGGACGAGCGGAAGTGGATGACCAGGTCTCTGCTCTACCATCTGGCATTACTAATCTTTTATGAACAGCATTAACTAGAGAAAACATTCACAGAGATCCGTGTTTCCTACTCTGTCACAGCTGATGCTAGGATAAGATTGCAGTGGCAAACATTTGTCTCATTATTACACGTTTGTTTATGCAATCACTTACTCATTCACTAATCAACAACATGGCTGAATGTGGCTGGTACTCTCCTAGATACTGGGGACAGAGAGGAACTGCAAGGTGTGGTACTTTTCTTCGGTGAACTCTCAGTCCAATGGGGGACGCATAATAACACGCCCCTGGCAGGGTATGGTTCTCTCTCCCTTTTGTTTCTTACTTCCTTTCCTCGCTCTATTGGAAACGGAAAATTTTAAGCATAACAAATGGAGGTTATGCTATGATTAGTGTTCCCATGATAGAGAGGGGTTTGTTTCGTAGTTATTCCAATTTGAAGAATGACGGTGGCCACCAGGAACAGGAACATTTGGGTGGAAGATTCTCTTCACCGGACCACAAGGAACAGCAGCAGGATGGAGTTGGGGCACGTGGGAGGACAGGGAGGTGGAAAAGAGGAAGACAAGCTCTCCAAGGGACAGACGGATGTTTTAGACTGCCGTATCTTGTTGGCCTTCTGAAGACTGAAGATGTAACAAAGACAAGAAACGATTTGCACCATGGCCTAGAATTGGAGCATGCTTGTGATCAACGAGGAGAATGTGTGTGTTGTTTTCCCATACTGGACTCTACCTGCGGGCCCCTCCAGGCACGGCAGGACCAACACAGGGTCACAGCCATTTCTCTAAATTTCCCACCGAGATGAAAATTTGTAACCTCCTGAGCAGATGCTACACTAAACTATGTGGCAAGCATAGTAAAATCAGATTAAGAATCATTAGGGCACATCTGTTAGTTATCAGAAGGTCAGCCGTACTAGATAGTATTAGGTTTGGTTGTTTACAATAGAAAACCCAAAATAACAGTGGCCTAAACATAAAGATGTAACTCTCAAGAAAAATATGTACAGAGCTGGGAAATTCAGTCCTAGTATTTTGTTTCCTTGGTAGCCAGGAGCCTAGGTGCCTACTGTCTTTATGTTCTTCCTTTCTAGAGCTATCCTTTAAATTTAAGGTTACCTCCTGTTCCAAGATGGCTGCTGGAGCACCAGCCTTTAGGCACAGGGCCAGAAGAAGGAAAGAAGGATTTGAAGCAACTAAAAAAACAGATATCATACCACTGTGTGGAGTATATATGTTTATTACTTTCCATCTTAATTATCATCTTTTTCCATGCTGTCAGTCCTTCCAGGTGTTGCTTCTCGGCCTCTCTGTTCTTCTCATGAGAATGGAGGTGGGGATGATGCTTTTTCAAGATCCATACCATTCTCCTGTCCCCTTATTCTCATTAATGAATTAGCTCACTCATCAAACAGCTACTGAGCACCTATTATATCAAAGGCCCTCTGCTAGTCATAAGAAACACAAAGATGAAAAAATATTCCTACCATAGAAAAGCTTTTCATTTAGTTGTGGAGATATCAAGTGGACATCCTATCTAGTTGTGGAGATATCAAGTGGACATGCTATCTAGTTGTGGCGATATCAAGTGGACATGCTATCTAGTTGTGGGCATGCTATCTAGTTGTGGAGATATCAAGTGGACATGCTATCTAGTTGTGGAGATATCAAGTGGGCATGCTATCTAGTTGTGGGCATGCTATCTAGTTGTGGGCATGCTATCTAGTTGTGGGCATGCTATCTAGTTGTGGAGATACCAAGTGGACATGCTATCTAGTTGTGGAGATATCAAGTGGACATGATATCTAGTTGTGGGGATATCAAGTGGCCATGCTACCTAGTTGTGGAGATATCAAGTGGACATGCTATCTAGTTGTGGAGATATCAAGTGGACATGCTATCTAGTTGTGGAGATATCAAGTGGACATGCTACCTAGTTGTGGAGATAACAAGTGGACATGCTACCTAGTTGTGGAGATATCAAGTGGACATGCTATCTAGTTGTGGAGATATCAAGTGGACAAGGTATCTAGTTGTGGAGATATCAAGTGGACATACTATCTAGTTGTGGAGATATCAAGTGGCGATGCTATCTAGTTATGGAAATATCAAGTGGCCATGCTATCTAGTTGTGGAGATATCAAGTGGCGATGCTATCTAGTTATGGAAATATCAAGTGGACATGATATCTAGTTGTGGAGATATCAAGTGGACATGCCGGACTCCAGAGCTGGAGTGGCCCTTCAGAATGGTCCCAAATTGAGACAAGAAGTTGGGTGTGGGCTGCCAGGGAGAGAGAGAGAAGCATAACCGCGGGAGGCAGCTCCCTTCAGCCCCAGGCAGTGCTCCTCAGGGATGCAGCCCTCACTGCCCACACTCCCAACCCCCGCTGCATGAGCCCCTTGGCTCTGAAGAAATATCTGGGTGGCCAACTACAGCTTCCACTAAAACTGGCAATTTAAATACTAAAACATTTAGGAAAGAGTAACTGCCATATAATTTGCATATAAAGGACATTTAATAAATATTTGTTGAATGAATAGGTGGTTATTACGAGGGAAGAATGATAAGCAATGGATTTAAACTCCATCAGAAGGGATTTCAATGAAGCCAAAGAAAAACACAGGTTTATCTTGAGGTTTATCTTTTTTTCATTCTATATATTTTCTTTGACTATCTATCTTGTTAACAGATTGCTCCTATTTCATATTCTGTTTTATGATTGTAATATCTTCTCAGTGTTCTGTGAAAATACTAATTTAGTAATATTACATTCTAGTTTCTAAAAGTTTTCTTATTTTTAAAGAAAATATTTCTCTTTCCATTAAGAATATGTGTGTGATGCACACCACCAGGGGATTGGACATATCGGGGGGAGGGAGGGGGCAGGGGCAATATTTGTAACCCTAACAATATTTGTACCTCCATAATATGATGAAATAAAAGAATAAAAAAAGAATAAATGACCCCATATTCACTCTAGTAACATTTACTGTATGCCCTGTACTATTGTAAGCATTTACATAAACAATCGTTTAATATTTAAAACATCTCTGTAAGGTAGGGCCTATTATTAGCCCCATTATACAGATAAGGAAACTGAGGCACAGGGTGTAAATTTACTTGCCCAAGATCACACAGCTAATAAGTTAGGGAGTTGGATCCAAATCTAGAAAGGCTGACCCTACAGTCTTATGGTAACCTATCTTCCAAATGAGTGGTGCACTTTGGATATCTGTTCATGGTTAAAAATTAAGCACTAATTGGTTAATTCAGGTAGTTGACAGAGATTTTTCTGTGCTTTTGTGTAGAGAGAACAAATCACAATAATAATTTCTAATATGCTTTATTTCCCCCAAATCTCTGACCTTTCTTCTTTCCTTCTCAGTGCAGATTTCTCATACTTCATGGAGAAATAGAAGCCACCGCGCATTTTTGTCACCATTACTCTGAGATACTTCTAATAATTATCAAATTAAGAAACAAATTCCTTAACAGTTGTGAATTTGTGGCTTCATCTTAATAGTAATTATTAAACATTTAAAGATAACTTTAATGAATCTACTGATAATGATTGTGTGAGTAATCTATACTTTGAATTCTACCGATGTTTTGTGCCCAAAGTTATAAAGAACATATTTCTATGGTCCTCAGCTGGCAAGATAAATTGAGATATTTTTATATTATAAACAACATATTTCTTTATTCCTAAACTAACGTGATGAATTTTGATCTATAAAAGAGTGTGAAAATCAATACTACATGCTTGACTGTACTTGGCGAGAATTTTGGAGGCATGTTTGTTCTTTTGTTTGTGTTCTGGAAGTGACTCAACCCATTTTTTAAGGACAATTCCAGCTGTCTTTGTCCTTCACAGCAAATAACAGAAATAGTAATGGGTGGGGGGCAGATGGAGCGAAACTGGTTAAGGGGTACCAAAATACAGTTAGATAGAAGAAGTTCTAGTATTTGATAGTACAGTATGGAAATCATAGTTTAAAAGAATTTGTATATTTCAAAATAGCTAGAAGAGAAAAATTGTACTGTTCCCAGCACAAAGAAAAGGTAAATGTTTGAGGCAATCGATCTCTCAATTACTTTGATTTGATAATTACGCATTGTACACAGGTATCAAAATATCACATGTACCTTCCAAAATATGAACAAATATCATATATCAATAAAAATAAATAAAAACAAAAACAGTAATTAATTATTGGGTGATTATGAGAATAAGCCCAGTCCGTACAGGAATGTATTCCATCCTGTGTCCTCATTTTCTGGCACCCAGAGTAGTAGACACTCCAGAAATATTTTTGGTTGGCTCAGCAGAGGCACTACCCACCCTCTCCAGGTGCAGGTGGGTGTCAGGTGTCAGCCTGGGCCGGGCTCTAAGTTCTAAAAAGCATGTCGGCTGACAGTGTGCTTTGATCTTTAGTGGCACAGCCCTGTCTTTGATCAACAGCACGGAACACTGGACCCAGGCCATTGCCAGAGTCTGCCTTTGAACTGTTTGCTGCTCACCTTTTATTGAAAGCTCTTCGCAGAATTATTGAAGAACAAGTGTTTAAAGGACCTGTGGTCGATGCATTCCTGACTGTGACTCTTTCACGGACTGAAAGCTCTGAAATCCCACGCTAGACAAACATACTTAGAGATGTACGTAGGAAGTGGTGTGTGTAACCTTACAGGCCCGTGTATTCTTTGAAGTACACATTGAGATATTGAAGGATCCAGTCTGTGATGACAAGTAGGCTTCAGTTTTGCCACCTCTAATCAGCTGGGAGTGAAGGCCAGGAGCAATGTTTCACATGGACCTGAGACCAGTTGGTTGGAGCAGAAAAGAATTTTCTACCCATCAGCACTCCCTACGTATAGGTGAGGACCGTGTTGGGCCAGGGGCTATGTTTTTGGCATCCCCACTCTGGAAGTTAAGGTGGTGTGTCAGCAAGCTGTGTCTGCTGACTGCACACTTTCTAACTTACCCAGAAAATTGCTTCCACTGAGTCGGACTTGGTCATTATGTCCCCAGCTTGTATTAAAGGAAAATTATTAGAAGTTTCCCATGATACTTGTCTTTACTTTTGTTGTCAGAATGTCATAAAAATACTGGCTTCATATCAGAAAAGATGTCCTTGTCAAACCCGGGTGTCAGAAAAATCTTTGCTTCCCTGAAGAATGTTATGCCTACAGGACAAAATATAAATGATATAATGCACAGTTTTCCCTTTTTGCTTTTGCTTTTTGGCTTTTAGGAATATCAGCTTAATGTTAGTAATTATACAGCATACAATGATGCTAAATTCGTCACACAATGATACTACATTTATATTTCTGTCAGTCCATCACTCTGTTGATCTAGCAGTCCTTATAAGCCACACTAAATCCTTAGTGGAACAAAGCAGAATGTATAAAAATTAACTAATATTTAATATATATGTCAATAATATGTATGCCAATATTTTAGATATTCCATGAAGAGCAAAAGCTCTCCTCCTTTGGCTTCAGAAAATTCATTAATTTTACAATTTTAAGACAAGAGTAATAACACATGCTATTAAGAGATTTAAGTAATCTCAGTAACTCAAATACACTGAGTCTTTCATATCCCCTCTCCAGTGTGACTGAATAACTTTTTTCATTAATGATACTTAGCCTTTAATGTTATACTTGCTTAAATAGAGAGAGAAAGAGCACAAAGTTTTAAAATACAAAAGCAATATAAATTCACAATGGTCTTGAGTTTTTCAGCCCACCAAAGTGGCTGCCCGTGACCGTGTTCACCTATTGTCTTCCATCTTTGCCCCTCACTACCTGTCACAGCTCCCGATTCAAATGCGGGAGAGAGGTGGCTGGAGAGCAGCAAACACGGCAAAGCTTGTGTGCGTTCTCTGGAGAAGCTTCTGAGGGAGATTCTAAGAACCACAACAGATGAACTGGGAGGTTTGTGGCAGTCACTGCCAAGGAAGGCTTCACCCTTACACAGATCTTTGCAATTCTTTAATTCTGAATTCTTTAGACCCATGAGGATCTATTGCTCCAATTCATTTTAAAGCACATTGGTTTCAAAACCTGCAAGAGTGTTAACCGACTTAAGGAACTTGTTCCTCAAGCTCTGTGTACATGGATGAGCTTGGTAGACACAGTGTGAGGCTTCTGCATCAGCGTTCTCGTGGGAGGAGGAAGGCAGAGGGACCTGTGCTCCCTCTGGTCGGTGACTCACTACCTGCATGATTTCCAGAAAGTTGTTTTGTCGATCTCTAAGTCTCAGTTTCCTCACATATAAAGTAGGGATAACAAGAGTATCCAACTCTCAGACTCACTGTGCAGACTCAATGCAGAATCTTAACATAAAGTGCATGGAGTGTTATTAAATGTTCAATAAATATTAATTCCTTCCCTTCACTTTTCAACCCCTCATCTCCCTAGCAATATTTTCAGATGATCAAGAGGAGGTGAGAATTTCCAGTTTTATTTACACCAAAGAT